CCAGTGACGTGGCGCGTCCCATCTTGTTGATTGTCGATGGGTGCTCATCGCATTACTCGGTCCACATTGTGGAGGAGGCCAAGCGTCTGAACATCCTGCTGCAGGTTTTGCCTGCAAATTCGACCCACCTCTTCCAGCCGCTGGATGTGTCCGTTTTTTTCCCTTTAAGATTGCCATCCGATCTCAAATCGCTGACGACATGAGGAATGACATTGGAAGCAACGTCACCAAGCAGAAGGCAGTCTCCATCACCTGCGAAGTGTGGGCGAATTCCACAAAGACGTCTACCATCGTGAACGGCTTTGCCTCGACTGGGCTGTTTCCTCCATCGTTGGATGCCATGATGTACCGGTTGTCTCTGTTCAACCACCATCGGAGCGTGTAGAAGAAGTTGAAGAAACTTGGCTCGAACGTGCTGCCACTATTCGCAAGTCTGTACTACTCCTACCTCCCAAACGCAACAAGAAGGGTCCAATGCGAAAGACGTTATCCGTGAGTGGCATGTTTATCACAGCCGACTATCATGAGCTCCTTCAAGCTCAAGCTGAGGACATGAAATCGAAGAAAAGAGCAAAGAAGCAGCAGATGATTCCCAGCCCTGGGGCACTTGAAATCGTAGTGGTTTAATTGTACTGTTAACCACTCGGAATAGATTTTGTTTCAGTGTTTGCATTAACAATGTTAGTCAAAAAGTGAAATATACATCCAAGCAATTGCTTCGTATTACAGTAGTAGTAAAAAAGTGGATTCTGAGTGTGGCGTCATCACCAAGGAGAATTATCGTCCTTATAGCGTGTCAAAGACATGACTACATCAACTGTTGCAAATACCTAACCTCAAAAGTACATCTAATGGTGGGCCCATGATAATGTTCCGTACTCCGACGATGTCCAATTGACCTGAAGCAAAACTTGCAGTACCCGGTCAATGAATTGGCCAAGGGTTCGATCCCCCCTGAACGTATGACTTTTTCGTTTGTGGTAGCACACAAAGAAACTGTAATAGTTCATACCTCTCCTAAGCACATAATACTTTGAAATTTGATATTTTGACAGAGTTTCACATGCCAGCAGTTGGGGAAATTCAATACATTACGCAAGTCTAAATATGTGCCGATGAATGGTGCCCTATGCAGCAAGGCTTACTTTGAAAATTCATACCGCTTGTGCTCCCTATTTAAAATGATACTAGTATTATTTGAATCTCAATGAATGAGCATAATCTTGCCGTTGTTTTGATGTATGGGCCATCTCAATATGCGTTGCGTCACCGAGAAATCGACGAACAAAAAAAGGTCGAAAAATGCCGATGACCGGCGCCCGACGTTAGTACAGGAACTCTGCACAAAGAATAGCAAATTACAGATAAAGAATGGGGAAACGTGGCAACTCACCTGTCCTATGGGTCTTGTGTCTCCCGTCCTGCACCCCTCCTGCTTCTGGCACCAGTGGTTTCACCACCAATCACTGGCATGCATAAGCCAGTTCTTGGCCTAGCTGCTGACTTCTTGTTCCTTCTTGTGAGCCCATGACTTCCTATTTGTGTTCATTATGGCCGGGACGCTTGGCCTAGCATCCCTGGTTCGGCCCTGACGTTACCTTCCTAGACCTCTTTTCTCATTCCTTCCCTCTTCCACATGCCTCTGGCGTCCACCTCGTTTCCCTCCTTTTGACACATATGAAAACGTAACAAAAACTTAGTGTATGTTGTCGCTCGGTACACAAATCGAAACCAAAACAATGGGTAAATTCGACAAATGAGCGCAACCAGCCACTCGATTAACCTACCTCTATAAATATATACCGGTGTAACTTGATACCTCTATAAATCCATATGCACTCCTGGCCAATAGTAATTCTGACCAATTGACCCGAACATCCACATGTGCAAAGCGGACACGGGTGTGTCTATTGGCATGAGGGGCGTGCCACCCGCAGACGTGCTGGACAAATAAAATCAAGGTGAGCGACGGATACATTGAGTGAATCGAACTTGCCGGGACGGGATTGGGCGTCGTCGACTCGAACGACCGGGTTCGTTGGGCTGTCGATTATTGACATGGCAGGAATCGAGTGAAGGAATGGTCATCATCGTTTTATTATCCGGATGTTTATCGGCATCGAGGATGTATCTATGGTGCACGTAATCTATAAACTACCAACTTTTCACAAAATTTTCTGACTTCTATTTCATATTCATTACTCAACTTTTCAGCAAATTGAGATGTAGAATCGACAGATCTCAATGTGGTGAAGAAATTCTATGTCTCATATTCAAATTTGGTGATGAATTGGTCCAGAAATAGCCACCACGAATGTTGGACTGAAAATGAACTTCAAGTTGCGGTGATCCGTGTACAAATTGAAACCGGCTGCGGGATGTAACAAATAATCCGCACACACGAGCGTCTCAACAATTGCAGACGCTTCTTTCTCGACGATGGACCAACGTTCGGCTGCACCCGTAAACGTTCCGCTCAAAAACATGAGCGGACAATGGTCTTGAGCGTCCAAGGGCGTCCAAGTTGGTCTGGAGGAACTTGAGTTATCACTGATCCCCAGTGTCGCTCCGATGCGTCAGCAAACACGCACATACGTTGCTTTGGGTCTGGATGACTCAACTCCGCCACTTTGCCCAACGCACGTTTAGTCCGCCGAGACATTCCACACACACATCGGCGGAAACCGGGGATGCTCATACGCTTCCAATTGATTGCGCACACATATTGCTGCAGGTCCGCACCAGTAATGGGGGCAGGCAGCTGCTGCAGGGCAACTACACGAGCGGGATCATGTTTGACACCAGTGTCGCTGATAATCCGGCCACACCACTGGGCCTCTTCCACGTAGAATTGGCACTTCTTCGGGTGTAACTTTAAATCCTTTTCGGCACACACGACCAAAACTTCACTCAGTTCGCTCAACAGTCTAGAGGGTGTGCGGTGATATCCGAGCAAGTCATCCAGCCAGGCTAACAAACCCTGGTATAACTGATCAGCAAACATCTCCTGGACGGTGGACTGGGAATAGGCCACACTATCGCTGCCACCCTGCATAACCCGCGTGGACGTGTAGACGCCGGTGTCCGTGAGAAACGAGAACATCTCAAAGGCTATCTCAAAGGCTACTGGCAATTTGCACTAGACCCAAGTTGTTAGAAGTCCAACAGGAATAAATAAGTGGCGCCACTCAAATGGTCGATCACCACCTCCAGCATCGGCATGGGCCACGCGATTTGCTCGGTCTGACTGTTGACGGGCCTTAAGTCCACCGTCATTCGGAATACGTCCTTGGTGTGCGGTTTTCGCACAACCAACGGTGCGGATTCCCATCGGCTTGACGGGTTCCGATACATAAAACCAGCATCTTCCAACTCCCGGACGTGCTTCTGCATAAACTCTCGCTGAAGGAGGGAGTACCGCCGGGCCTTGCACCTTATCGGCTTGGAGCCGTTGGTCAAATGCACTTTCAGAGGCGGCATCGCAACCGGTGGGTCTCGGCCAAGACTCAGTCGAAAAACATCGATGTACATGGTCAGCAGGTCGCGTAGCTTTGCAGCGTATTCAGTACCGCAACCAGCGGCCACTGCATCGGCGACCTTACTGTCCAACAGCGACTTCACTTTGGCGGTTTCCTCGTGAGGCTCCACAATGGCACGATCCGGGAAACATGCATCAAACTCCATAGATAGCAAGGCCTCCTCTTCGGTTGCAAGGTCGTCCACCAGTTCATGGCTCGCCATCATTACGGCTTTCACCACTCCGCTGTACGAAATAGCTTCCGACATGTCATATTCGTCAGCCATTGCCGCTGCCTCACGCAGCATGGATCGGGGGTCATAACCAAGCTTATACATGATCGCACGGCTCAGAAGAATATCGTCCACACTTGACGGGAGGCCACCTCCGCTCACCCAACACTTGACATTCATGAGCGTGAGCGGACCACCGTCCGTCTCAAAACAAAGATCCAAGACAGCTTCTTCGGTAACTCGATATGGCGGTCCAACGAAACCTTTCACCATAATAGGTGACGCCAACTTGTGCACGATCACATCGCGACGCTGATCGCGGAACTTGGTCAACGTCTTCGGAGGCACCACACTATGGTCGGCGCCACTGTCAAACGACGCATCCAAGATGTCACCCATTGACTGGCAACACAAACCACACGAGCAGCACACGCAACAGCGCGATTTTTTTTATTGATCGTCGGTACCAGCGGCAGGGTTTCCGCCACCGTGTTGTGGTGGGCGACTTAATCCAAGTCCCGCCATGACACAGGTGGTCCTCAACCGAGGCCACCGGGTGCC